GTAGATTAATTTAAAATATCTGTACACTGGTAAAGATATAATTTCAGTTAATAAGTATATTCCCACCTTAAATAACTTCAGTCTGCTTGTCGTGACAAGACACAAATTTGTCATTAAACCAAAAGATTAGGAGATTTTGGTATAAACTTGCTAGATCAGCCTTTTTGAAACCTTTTCCCCCAGTTGTTGTATGTGTAAACCAAAGGTTCAAATATGCTTGTATATTATTTCAAGCACAGTTAATACTGATGAATTATGCATTCATGAAAAGCATATTCACAGATTTATCTATACAAGGTTAAGATTTCGATGAAAGATAAAGTACATTCCGTATAATTCTTACTGATTCAGCTTTGAGTTAATCTTTATTTAAAGATTTGTATCTTTTGCAAATATTTTTTTACCTTTGATTGTCTCAATTGGAATAACTTAATGAGTTTATGGTATTTTAACTTGTGTTACAGCAGTAAAATGAAATATCCACAGCTTATTTCTTTTTAACTAAAAATACTTTATTAAGTCAACTTTCAACCAATTCAATGATTATTTTTTGCTTATGTTATTGTATTTTAAAATATTATTTTGCTCAAAATTAATAGTACAGTGTATACAAATGCATTGGAACATTTCACACAATATTTTAATATTTTATAACAATCAATTGGATTCTGAGTAGCTCAAACCATGTTCGTATGCATGTATGCATGTATGTATGTACGCATGTATCTATGTGTGAGCGTGTGTGTGTAGGAGTGCATACATTAACGTACGTGGGTGCATAACTATGCATGCAGCCATGCACAAGCATGTGAGCAAGTAAATATTATTTATGTATGTATGTAGGTGGGTAGGTATGTACTTACGTACGTATGTGTGTATGTATGTATGTATGATAAATTTGACAACCTAAACTTGTCCACACTGTTGGACTTACTTCTTTGCCCCATATGTGTGTATGATAGATATATGTGTTTATGATATGTGTGGGGATGCATACATGGAAGTTTGTGTGCGATCATAATTATGTAAAAAGAAATAGCGGAGTTGCTAACATAATAATAGATCAATTGACTTCTGATTTATTATCTTATGACGTCTTTGAATACGATTCTTTATCAATGACCTTTGTATTCATATGATAACATATATCATATGTAAAGTAAGTCATGTGGATGGTCTTTCCCGATGCAAACAGTCTAGTGGAAACGGATATACCAGGAGGACAAGAATGAACAGGAGAATGACGTATTAAGGCTCGGGATGTGACGAACAATTGATCAGCAATAGTGTATGGAATGTGAACAGTCTATCACAACGACTGTAGGGACAAACATCCACATGATTATGATTATCATAGGGTATATTTTATATTTAGATCTTACTTAAATGCATGAATATCAATCATAAAGTGTATTAACGATGACGCAACAGAAGGATTTTTCTTGACCACAATACACTGATTTTATGAATATTTTACACTGCATTTCCCCAACTCTCTTCTAACTTCCCCTGTAATTTATTCACGTCACTATCCCTAAGCTATAGTTGTTAATGTTGGTTACGATGAAAGGTAACAGATTTATATAAGTGTATTAACACTTGTTTCTGTCTCCAATTCATCTATGTTTAATCATATTTGTATTATGGTTTACATATGTTATGTGAATAAAACAAAGTTTAAACTAACAATCTCGACTATTGAATATATATATGCTAATAAGTTACATTTGTAGATGCTAGTACTTATTATGCTCTCTAGCCTATGTAGACGAGTACAACCAATTGCTCTTAGAAAACAGTTGTAAGAGCAAACAGCTGTTCATTATTTTTGTTTGTTTTTCATCTTTATAACAATTCATTAAAGTTACAGAAGGTATTGTTTTTTTCTCAGAAATGATAGATTAAAATAAAAAGTATTTTTTGGCCACAAGAAATAAAGACTCAGAGTTTGTCGCAGAATATTTCTAAATAGAGAATTATTATAGAGAATACTTTAAGACACTGAAGAACTGCCTGCATGTGTGGGAAAAGACAATTCTTTACACAGGCCATATAAAGCCATCAACAAGCAACATCCTGAATTGAAATTAAATATTACACAAATAGAAGAGTTGCAGCTATCCTCAATTTTGTCCCAATTTTAGCTCGCACGGTCATATGTATAATGACATCTGTCAACTTTTCTTCACACAATTTCATCTTATGAACCACTGATTGAAAGTAAACTAAACTCGACTTGAAGCATTCGTATCGATGGAGGTAGGGGATCCAAAATTGTAAAAATGGAAGGACTAACATCCAGGGAGCTGAAAGTGTGGGCCCAAGAGGTTATAACTTGGAATTTGTTGAGATCCCTAACCTTTAGCAAAATTCATAATTGCTGAATAAAAAAAAGAGATGAAAACACAAATAATGTACCCACGGAGACTCAGTCCCTAGGTCAGATATCCTGACACCTCAACTAATATCGTACAGCTGGGAAACTTACAAAGGACCTGTTACAGGAACAAAAGCATTTTGCCCAATGAGCAATTTAACCATTACTGGGTTATATTTCCGATTCTTGTACACCAAAAATCTTTTAATATTATTTGGTGCATTATGTTGAGATATGATAGTAAAAATTTCAGAAAATTTGAGAACCGGTAAATTTGTCATATAAATGTCAAATTGTAGCAACGTCTATTTCAAATAAAATCCAACAACCTTATGACCTATAGTCATGTTTGATCATTTAACAATACGTCGAACCAATTTATTATCGCAACTGATCACATTTTCATCAATAAGGTCTGCTGCTCATGATGAGCGCAACTATAAAGCTAGATGTTGCAAAATAGAAAAGTTATGCAGTCTCACACACAAAAAAAGTTTGGAATGTTATGTACATTTTTAGTTGTTTCGCATCTTTATGGAAGTGATAGACATATTTCCGGTTTTTGTACACCAACATACTTTGGATATTATTTGGCACATTATGTTGACTGACGATAGTAGAAATTTCGAAAAAATCGGTATGGCGGAGTGTCACATACTGCATTTTAGGCCCTCATCCCTTTACTTGCAGTGTTATGACCCTTTGTTCAGACTATAACCTTAACAAGTCTGGGGCAGCAAACCTGTATAGGCATACATACATCATGACAGGACAAATCGTAAGCTACATATTTCAAGGAACATAGCACGAAATTAAGGGCCTCTGATTTAGAATTGTTTGTTGTCTTTTTTGCAAGCCACGACTCAAACGTTGTGCGACTTTATGTCTCATGCATTCCCTTTATGTAGAGTATGGCCCTTTGCTGTCTGGCCAAGATAAGCAATAACTAGTCAGTGTTAGACCATATACATGTACTAGATTACAGGTACCATTTATGAAAAATGCATCATAAATTTGAAATGATTACTGAAATAATGGATCCCAGACCATATCTTAGCAGCTGTTTCATATATGGGCAATAAACATTTCAACTATGTACATCATGAGAAGATGGTGTGTCTCATCCTAAAACAAGGTCCCTGTGTTTTTACTATGACCTTCACCTCCAATACTAGTCCGAATTATTCTGACGTTTTATCGACTTTTTTCATATCGGTCTGTCGTCGATTAACGTCAGAACTCCGTCCCTCTATAATATGCGGGAAATATGCGACCCGCGCCCGGAGCGCACTTCAAACTGATATTTTAGAAAGTGTGCTAGTTGTTTTGCTATTTTAAGTTTTGTTTAAATTTTCACCTTTTGTGGGATAAAACACTAAAAGCACTTCAGTTGACATAACTCAGTAGTAAAGTACCAATATTGTACAACTTTCCACTTTGTTGATCATTGTGAACTATTTTTGATCATATTATACATTTAAAACTTGCACATTAAAAATGAACTTGCTCTTGTTAACAAAGTACATACAATGATAAAAAAGATGGAATGTTAGCATTGGGTACAATTCAAGAAATACACATTTTTGAGATATTCAAAATGGCCGCCGAATTGGCCTTTAAAAAAAAAACACGAAAAAAGGTCAGAATCATGCTTGCTCTTTGAATTGATCCTAAGTGGGTTTTTTTAATAAGATTCCACTATACTAGATCAAAACGAGATTTGAACGTGACTGAAACCTCAGAAGAGTACATCCTTAAGATATACATGAAGTTGTAATATAAAGTATACTGGCATATTACAATAAGAATACATGTGTTTTATTGAAGATGTACCTGTATATTCATATATGTACTTCCTTAACTGCGTTTGTTAGCGAAACAGTCTGCGAGTGTTTTGTATGCGAAGGATCTGTATAACGGACACAAATATGTAAAAACAAAAATTCCGAAAATATTAAGAAGGACAAAAGAACAACCGTAGAAATATTTCTTCAGAAAAAGACCTTCCTTTTTCATATTTTCCGTATATTTTGTTCGTTTTCTTTGTCCAAATATGATCGTTTTAAGACAAGGGTGATTAAATACTCAAAACCAATATTACCCCACCCTCTTGCATGTCTGGTGTTCTAGTGAGTTAACGTTTAAATGTCTTCGCGAACGTTTTTGGCGAGCGTTGTATTTTGTTGGCAAAAGAACAAAACACTCCCGAAATTTCTTGCTGTAGAACGCCACTCTGTATGTTCTACTTAAGATATCACCGTACATTCTTTTAAAGTTAATCTGCATCTGCATGTTTTATTAAAGACATACATTTATGCACTATTAAAGAGAAACATGTATGTTTTATCAGAGACATACATGTATGTTTTATCAGAGACATACATGTATGTTTTATCAGAGACATACATGTATGTTCTATTAAAGGTAGACCTCTTAGCATTCCTGATATAGTACGTATGGTTGGAGGTGGCTATTATTTAGTATGCTTACTGGATCAAAGTGTTGTTTACTTTGTGGTATGTATAGTACTATGCATTGTGACTCCACAAGTGGTAAGCGATGACTACAGATATACATGTATTATTTCTTATCTCTTACCTTCATAGAACAAGCTGGGGAACCCCACTTTGTATAACCCAATTCGACGTCACACATGGCAGATCGTTCCTTTATCAGAAACAGTTTTACATTTGTAGCTCTGAGCACTGCCCTTGGAATCGTTGACATACGCTAACTATAAATGTGTTCCTGTGTTCGTCTTATCTAACGTAAGAGCTGTTGAGATGGGTTGGTGCTTTATCTTTCACTTAATATACGGAATCAGCAAGGTAAGTGAAAACCTGAGTAATTTTTCTGTGATTAATAATTATTTCTACTTGTTTGTCGATAAATCGAAACCTCTCTTTGTATGTTTGTCTTGTAATGATCAATTGGTGACTTATTTATTATGAAAAGTTCTTTTTTACAACCAATACAATTTTCTATGTGACGTTTGGATGACTAGTACGATATGTACCTTGTCACCTTCATCAGACAAATTACCAGTGAAGACAAATTGATGTCGATTCGACTACGCTGGTAGCGTATGTACAATAGTTGTTATATATGTTCCGAAATGACTCGATTTAGCTGCCCTTTGTTTAATACTTGGTGATAGATGTGCGAGAGCCTATGAGAGTTTAGCTTAATCGAGTCATTTTGGAACATATATAACAACTATTGTACATACACTACCAGCGTAGTCGAATCGACATCAATTTGTCTTCACCGGTAATTTGTCTGATGAAGATGACAGAGTACATATCGTATTAGTCATCGAAACGTCACAGAAAATCTTATTGGTTGTGTGAAAAGGAACTTTTCATAATCCATACTTACCAACTTGAAGAAAATGTCTAGAAAAATGGTGACTTATTTGTATGTTTGGTGTAACATTAATTGATGACTCTATATTTGTATGTTTGCCTCGTAATGGTTGATGGTGAGTCTCTATTGTATGTTTGCCTTGTAATGGTACATTGGTGACTATCTATTGTATGTTTGCCTTGCTAGGGTTAATTGGTGACTCTCTATTGGATGTTTGCATTGTAATGGTTAATTGGTGACTATCTATTGTATGTTTACCTTGTAATAGTTGATTGGTGACTATCTATTGTATGTTTGCCTTGTAATGGTTAATTGGTGACTATCTATTGTATGTTTGCCTTGCTAGGGTTAATTGGTGACTCTCTATTGTATGTTTGCCTTGTAATGGTTAATTGGCGACTATCTATTGTATGTTTGCCTTGTAATGGTTTATTGGTGCATCTCATCTGTATGTATGCCTCGTAATGGTTGATGGTGAGTCTCTATTGTATGTTTGCCTTGTAAGGGTTAATTGGTGACTATCTATTGTATGTTTGCCTTGCTAGGGTTAATTGGTGACTCTCTATTGTAAGGTTACCTTGTAATAGTTAATTGGTGACTATCTATTGTATGTTTGCCTTGTAATGATTGATGGTGACTCTCTATTTGTATGTTTGCATTGTAATGGTAGATTGGTGACTATCTATATTTGTATGTTTGCCTTGTAATGGTTAATTGGTGACTCTCTATTGTATGTTTACCTTGTAATAGTTAATTGGTGACTCTATATTTGTATGTTTGCCTTGTAATGGTTAATTGGTGACTATCTATTGTATGTTTGCCTTGTTATGGTTAATTGGTGACTCTCTATATTTGTATGTTTGCCTTGTAATGGTTAATTGGTGACTATCTATTGTATGTTTGCCTTGTAATGGTTAATTGGTGACTCTATATTTGTATGTTTGCCTTGTAATGATTAATTGGTGACTATCTATTGTATGTTTGCCTTGTAATAGTTAATTGGTGACTATCTATTGTATGTTTACGTTGTAATGGTTAATTGGTGACCATCTATTGTATGTTTACCTTGTAATAGTTAATTGGTGACTATCTATTGTATGTTTGCCTTGTAATAGTTAATTGGTGACTCTCTATTGTATGTTTGCCTTGTAATGGTTAATTGGTGACTATCTATTGTATGTTTGCCTTGTAATGGTTGATGGTGAGTCTCTATTGTATGTTTGCCTTGTTAGGGTTAATTGGTGACTATCTATTGTATGTTTGCCTTGTAATGGTTTATTGGTGCATCTCATCTGTATGTAAGCTCATTATAGATTTTTTGGAATCATTTTACTATACGTTTGGTTATTATTAATTGTTTCTGTGTGTAAGCACATTTAATAATGACTGTTTGGTACCAAACTCTACACACCTGCAGGTCGGGGATTGAGAAAAGAATAGCCTACTGTTACCCACCGCATGTATCGTAACCGTAAGAGGTGACCCATGTGGGAACCCCCTTCAGAATTTAGGACTTACTTTTTTGTCTTTTACAAGGGGACACGAAAGAGACCAAAATAAATCTGCTGCACATATTGCAATATTTGGGATTATTCTATTTCTCCCTATTTCTTAATACCTTTTATTTCCTAGCGCCTTGTTTGGCAACACCTCACCGTTGGCTTTAATGTTGAACGTTCGCCAAATTGAGGAAGACATGCAAGGGTTCTGTCCCCAGGCTGGGACATACCAAACTCCTTAAAAATGGTAGTTGTTATTTTCCTACTTAACGCTCAGCATTTAGGGGAATGGCAGCAACTGATTCATCCGTTGTCAGTATAATATGACCGGGCGGAATGCTGTGTTTAGTGCATGCGGCATAGTATTTCAGTGAGATATCACTATAAAGTCGGCATCAGATCGGCGTTTACACAAGGAGGCAAGTACACTAACATACCCTGTACCGGCACACATACACACATGCACGCTTACACAACACACATGGAGGCACATCCTTAAATGGTTAAACAACGACGTTAATCAAAATAGAACCAAAACCAAACTACCCAACTGTTTGTGCGTTAACTTAGTATTAATTACTTAGGACTTCTCTATTTCTACGGAATGTAAGTGTTTATTATGCTGCACCTCTCTATTTGTATGTAATGTTATTATGTATTATTTTGCACCTCTCTATTTGTATGTTATGTTATTATGTATTATTTTGCACCTCTCAATTTGTATGTAATCTCATTTTGTATTATTTTGCACCTCTCAATTTGTATGCAAGTTCAGCGTTAATTATTTGGTACATCTCTTTTTGTGCGTAAGCTTTGCTTAGATGATTTAGTATGTTTATAATATTAATTCAACAACAAATACGAATTAAAACCAATAAAAAAGTATTTCGTTAATTTGTCAAACACTGTCATAAATATATATTATTAATTTTGTATTAAAGCTGATACTGCGAGACATTCTCCGTTTTTATTATTTTAGAAATGTGCAGTTTTAGAAATACTTTATTTAAAATTGTATTTGTATTGACAGGTTATAGATGTTAGTGGAGGGGGAACGGGGCTGGTTCGCCTCCTTGATTATTCTAGCACCACAGTCCAGGACACAACAGGTGCTACTGTCGACGTTTGTGTCGGACCAACAGTGCAGAAAGTGGATTCACAGTTAGTATGTTCACTAAGATAAAATCTGTCTCAATGATAAGGCTTCTCCATAGATATATTCGGCTGGTTTTATAGATAAACACAGGAATGGGCCTCGTTCGACAACACGCCTATACTATAATCAAGGTTGCAAACTCGATAACCTTAGTTATATGACCTTGTTGCAAAAACCGTTCATCGACTGTCTTAGCAAAATATACGGTTGACCAAATATACATATGAGACGTCGTAGAGACATATCGATGGTTATAAAGGGAACTGGTTATGCATGTAAGCTGCTTATATAGGGTATCAGGTTATACAGGCTAGCTGATTATAAAAATTAGCTAGTTATACAACTTAGCTCGTTATACAAGTTAGCCATTAATACAAGTTAACTGGTTATAAAGGCTTGCTGCTAATACAGATAGCTGGTTGAAGAGGTAAATTGGTTATACATGTAGCTGGTTATACAAGATAACTGGTTATACAAGATAACTGGTTACACATGTTAGCTGGTTATACAAGATTACTGGTTATACATGTTAGCTGGTTATACAAGATAACTTGTTATACATGTTAGCTGGTTATACAAGATAGCTGGTTATACAAGATAACTGGTTATACAAGTGAGCTGGTTATACAAGATAACTGGTTATACAAGATAACTGGTTATACAAGATTACTGGTTATACATGTTAGCTGGTTATAAAAGATTACTGGTTATACATGTTAGCTGGTTATACAAGATAACTGGTTATACAAGTGAGCTGGTTATACAAGATAACTGGTTATACATGTTAGCTGGTTATACAGATTAGCCTTTAATACAAGTTAACTGGTTATAAAGGCTTGCTGCTAATACAGGTAGCTGGTTGAAGAGGTAACTTGGTTATATAAGTTAGCTGGTTATACAAGATAACTGGTTATACATGTTAGCGTGTTATAAAGGTTCGTTAGTTGTGGATATATAGTGGATTCGTATGAACTTGCTGTTAAAAGTTAGTTGATAAGTTGTTATTTTTTTTCCAGATGTTTGTGTGGCAGAACAACTGTAAAATTGGATCAACAATCCGACTTCATTTTCTTCCGTTTCAAATCCGCGACGGTGAATATGTTTTTAAAGTTGAACTTCTTCTTGGTATGTTTCATAGGAAAAAAGATCCGAGGCAATGTCACAATAAAATGCACCATTTTATCTGTTTAAGACATGATGACTTGCAATAATTATAGTCTCAAGAACTTTCATGTCAATCTTGAATCTCAATAGTCTATAAATTATTTTATAAACATTTCCGGGATCTGATTAATATGATCAGGCCCAACACCATGACTGTTAAAATGATGTTTAAATTTTACTGGCAACAGTTTCTTAACTACTTTCTTTAATCACGGTTTTTAAAGAGGAAAATGTCATGCAAGTAGGTTTTAAAATTCATTTTTATTAAAGCAACGAAATATTTTGAGTGTATCTTAATAGTTAGACTACACGTCAATTATTTAATTTACATTAAGATATAGCTTTGTGTTTCCGCTGCGCTAGATTAAAGGTTTTTTAAGCAACATTCGTTCTGTTGCAAAAGTAGTTTAAACCAATTTGGATTTCGAAAACGTTTGACCCCTATCATCAACGATGAATCCTTGATGGACGAAACAACTGTGTGGTAGGATGCAGTGTGATGAACAACTGTATGGTAGGGTGCAGTGTGATAAACAACTGTATGGTAGGACGCAGTGTGATAAACAACTGTGTGGTAGGATGCAGTGTGATGAACAACGGTATGGTAGGATGCAGTGTGATAAACAACTATATGGTAGGATGCAGTGTGATAAACAACTGTGTGGTAGGATGCAGTGTGATGAGCAACGGTATGGTAGGATGCAGTGTGATAAACAACTATATGGTAGGATGCAGTGTGATAAACAACTAGTGTGACAAACAACTATATGGTAGGATGCAGTGTGATAAACAACTGTGTGGTAGGATGCAGTGTTACAAACAACTATATGGTAGGATGCAGGGTGATAAACAACTGTGTGGTAGGATGCAGTGTGATAAGCAACGGTATGGTAGGATGCAGTGTTATAAACAACTATATGGTAGGATGCAGTGTGATAAACAAATGTGTGGTAGGATGCAGTGTGATAAACAACTATATTGTAGGATTCAGTGTGACAAACAAATGTGTGGTAGGATGCAGTGTGACAAACAACTATATGGTAGGATGCAGTGCGATAAACAACTGTATGGTAGGATGCAGTGTGACATACAACTGTATGGTAGGATGAAGTGTGACTCATTTCGGTTAACTGTATTTATTGCTATTTTTTATGTTGTGTTTCGTTCATCTTTCTTAGAACGGGTTGGTGGTGAGTGTAGGAGAGTTGGACTATGACAGGGACACTTCTGGCGACAATGAGGAATTATCCGATCTCACCTTTTCGATGGGACCTCCTGACTCCAAAAGTAGTGTACGCACCGAAACAGCGAGTAGAGAAAGAACTAAGTAAGGCATTATTGTACCGTAAGGTCTTGCGCGGTATCGGGTTTTCTTTTAGCACTGAATGATGCCCTCTTTGGGATATCAAATGAAGCTGGCAGTGTGACGAAAAAGTTAGTTAAAGACCATAAAATATGCGGGCAATGTGATATCATTCAAAATTTACATCTTCAATTATAAGCAAAAGCCCTACACAATTATAGAAATTTTCAAGATTTAATCATCAAACGTATGCATGGAAATTGGTTTACTTTACCGTCACTGTATCATATCGTCCATGTGGAGTAGTTATCGTGCTCAGTTGATCCCTAAGTGGCGGCATGGCTAATGATATCATAAATAATGAATGGCATGAATATATATCAATCTAAAAAAAGCAGGCAATCTACAGAATATATTTTATAAAATTAATTTTTTTGAGTTTTGTAGGTAATATAACGGTTAGAAAAATACGTATGAAACAATGACATTGTTGTCCAATGCCTCTGTGATAAATAGTGTAAATGGTGAGATGATTAAAATCAAATTATTGCGTAGGTCTTGTTTAATCGGGATTATGTCGTAAAAACATCTACACGGTCATGGGAAACAGTATATAGACATCTACATGGTCATGGGAAACAGTATATAAACATTAACATGGTCATTGGAAACAGTAAATAAACATCTACACGGTCATTGGAAGCAGTATATAGACATCTACACGGTCATGGGAAACAGTATATAAACATTAACATGGTCATTGGAAACAGTAAATAAACATCTACACGGTCATTGGAAACAGTATATAGACATCTACACGTTCATGAGAAACAGTATATAAACTTCTATATCGTCATGGGAAACAGTATATAGACATCAACATGGTCATTGGAAACAGTAAATAAACATCTACATCGTCATGGGAAACAGTATATAAACATCTACATGGTCATGAGAAACAGTATATAAACATCTACACGTTCATGAGAAACAGTATATAAACTTCTATATCGTCATGGGAAACAGTAAATAAACATCTACACGGTCATGGGAAACAGTATATAAACGTCTACACGGTCATGAGAAACAGTATATAAACATCTACATGGTCATGGGAAACAGTATATAAACTTCTATATCGTCATGGGAAACAGTATATAAACATCTACATGGGCATGGGAAACAGTATATAAACATCTACACGGTCATGGGAAACAGTATAGACATCTACATCGTCATGAGAAACAGTATATAGACTTCTACATCGTCATGGGAAACAGTATATAAACATCTACATGGTCATGGGAAACAGTATATAAACATCTACACGGTCATGGGAAACAGTATATAAACGTCTACACGGTCATGAGAAACAGTATATAAACATCTACACGGTCATTGAAAACAGTATATAAACATCTACACGGTCATGAGAAACAGTATATAAACATCTACACGGTCATGAGAAAAAGTATATAAACATCTACATCGTCATGGGAAACAGTATATAAACATCTACACGTTCACGGGAAACTGTATAAAAACATCTATATCGTCATGGGAAACAGTATTGAACGTGTAGATGTTTATATACTGTTTCCCATGACGATGTAGATGTCTATATACTGTTTCCCATGACCGTGTAGATGTTTATATACTGTTTCCCATGACCATGTAGATGTTTATATACTGTTTCCCATGACCGTGTAGATGTCTATATACTGTTTCACGTGAACGTGTAGATGTTTATTTACTGTTTCCCATGACCGTGTAGATGTTTATATACTGTTTCCCATGATCGTATAGATGTTTACATACTGTTTCCCATGACGGTGTAGATGTTTATATCCTGTTCCACGTGAACGTGTAGATTTTTATATCCTGTTTCCCATGACCGTATAGCTGTTTATATACTGTTTCACGTGAACGGGTAGATGTTTATTTACTGGTTCCCATGACCGTGTAGCTGTCTAAACTGTTTCCCATGCCCGTATAAATGTTAACATACTGTTTCTTATGACGATGTAGATGTATATTCTGTTTCCCATGACCGTGAAGATGTTTATATACTGTTTCCCGTGACCATGTAGATGTTTATATACTGTTTCCCGTGAACGTGTAGATGTCTATATACTGTTTCCCGTGACCGTGTAGATGTTTACATACTGTTTCCCATGACCGTGTAGATGTTTATATACTGTTTCCCATGCCCGTGAAGATGTTTATATACTGTTTCCCGTGACCATGTAGATGTTTATATACTGTTTCACGTGAACGTGTAGATGTTTATATACTGTTTCCCATGACCGAGAAGATGTTTATATACTGTTTCCCGTGACCATGTAGATGTTTATATACTGTTTCCCGTGACCGTGTAGATGTTTATATACTGTTTCCCATGCCCGTGAAGATGTTTATATACTGTTTCCCGTGAACGTGTAGATGTCTATATACTGTTTCCCGTGACCGTGTAGATGTTTACATACTGTTTCCCATGACCATGTAGATGTTTATATACTGTTTCCAATGACCATGTAGATGTTTTTATACTGTTTCCCATGACCGTATAGATGTTAAATACTGTTTCCCATGACCGTGTAGATGTTAACATACTGTTTCCCATGACCGTGCAGATGTTTATATATTGTTTCCCATGACCGTCTAGATGTTTATATACTGTTTCCCGTGACCGTGTGGATGTTTACATACTGTTTCCCATGACCATGTAGATGTTTATGTACTGTTTCCCATGACCGTGTAGATGTTTTTATACTGTTTCCCATGACCGTATAGATGTTAAATACTGTTTCCCATGGCCGTGTAGATGTTTATATACTGTTTCCCATGACCGTGTAGATGTTAACATACTGTTTCTCATGACGATGTAGATGTATATACTGTTTCCCGTGAACGTGTAGATGTCTATATACTGTTTTCCATGACCGTGTAGATTTTAAATACTGTTTCCCATGACCGTGCAGATGTTTATATACTGTTTCCCATGACCGTATAGATGTTTATATACTGTTTCCCATGACCGTATAGATGTTAAATACTGTTTCCCATGACCGTGTAGATGTTAAATACTGTTTCCCATGACCGTGTAGATGTTTATATACTGTTTCCCATGACCATGTAGATGTTAACATACTGTTTCCCATGACCGTGTAGCTGTCTATACTGTTTCCCATGACCGTCTAGCTGTCTATAATGTTTCCCATGACCGTGTAGCTGTCTATACTGTTTCCCATGACCGTATAGATGTTTATATACTGTTTCCCATGACCGTATAGATGTTAATATACTGTTTCCCATGACCGTATAGATGTTTATATACTGTTTCCCATGACCGTATAGATGTTAACATACTGTTTCCCATGACCGTGTAGCTGTCTATACTGTTTCCCAAGACCGGGTAGATGTTTATATACTGTTTCCCATGACCATGTAGATGTTAACATACTGTTTCCCATGACCGTGTAGCTGTCTAAACTGTTTCCCATGACCGTATAAATGTTAACATACTGTTTCCCATGACCGTATAGATGTTAACATACTGTTTCCCATGACCGTGTAGCTGTCTATACTGTTTCCCATGACCGTATAGATGTTTATATACTGTTTCCCATGACCGTATAGATGTTAACTACTGTTTCCCATGACCATGTAGATGTTTAAATACTGTTTCCCATGACCGTATAGATGTTAAATACTGTTTCCCATGACCGTATAGATGTTTATATACTGTTTCCCATGACCGTGTAGATGTTAAATACTGTTTCCCATGACCATGTAGATGTTTAAATACTGTTTCCCATGACCGTATAGATGTTAAATACTGTTTCCCATGACCGTATAGATGTTTATATACTGTTTCCCATGACCGTGTAGATGTTAAATACTGTTTCCCATGACCATGTAGATGTTTAAATACTGTTTCCCATGACCGTATAGATGTTAAATACTGTTTCCCATGACCGTATAGATGTTTATATACTGTTTCCCATGACCGTATAGATGTCAACCTAAAATCTATACATGATATTGTTTGTCGATATTTATATGTTTTTCAGCGCGCTGTATAATCTTATATATTATATGATTCGGTTTACTACTGTCCTGGTACACTGTGATAGTGTATAAAACAGTGTTTTGATACTACATGTAATATACTGATTTCCATCACTGACGTATGCTAGTATTGGTGTATAGGTGTTTTCAACTGCCAAGTATACTCTATATGTAAACAGGGTTTCATGCATTTAGTTTTCTTCGCTTTTCTTTGAATGGGGCGGTTTACAACATGATAAGCGTGACGACTTCACGAATTTTCCCTATCCTGATATTGACATCACTCTTTCTCCCCCCCGATGATGTTAACGTGTTGCCGCTGATTCGATAATTGCCCGGAATACCACGTTTACCGAGGTAAATACATGTATTGAATGCTGATAGTCGGACAGTATGCACGTTTATGGCGGCCATCAAGTTCTTGTTGTTATTTCTGTATGTCATCGACGATTTGGAAAATTATGATTTGTGCGCCTTGTGGCTTCGGTGTTACTATTCTGGTTCCCGCGTTAAGCAGGTGACATTACTTGGATTCAAACCAAACAATGCATGGTGGGTTTCATCGGTGGAACAGAAGATGTCTTCTAGAACACATTTTATTGATTGATTAGATGATTATTTTAAATTAACGTAAGTGAAAGTAACTCTAAACATTATACTTGATTGATAAATATAACTTATTATCAACAGCATCAGCATAGCGTACATACTCGCTTGTGACGAGTATTACTACGGCGACTGTTCAACGTACTGCCGACCCAAATACCCAATGTATGGCTGTGACAGAGGAGGGCAGAGGACATGTCTGACAGGTAAGATATACACGTGCTGTCGACCTAAATACCTAATGTATGGCTGTGATAGGGCAGGGCAGAGGATATATATTACTGGTAAGTTATCCACGTACCGTCGACCCAGAAAACAAAAAATGTAAAGTGCACTGTGCGGCTGGGTATTGAACTTGTCCACTTTCCTATACAAAGGAGGAGGCGCTTCATCTTAACATACACTGGTCTACTGCATACTAGTGTGCGTTAAACTTATCGTGACATTTATTAATATGCATAATACACTTGTGCAATACAAACATCTTATGAACAAGTACCCTTGTTATAGTCTATTTCGCTGCTATGTGATACTTACGTCGGATTTCAGTAAAGAACAACTCGAGTTAAACAATACTTATTATAAAGTACACAAAAAGCTGTAAAGTTTATTACTTCTAATTAAAGAATTAAGAGAAAGTGATTAAACAATAGAGGAAAAGGAGTTGGGTTTACGAATCATTTATGCAACAGTCTTTGTCAAAATTATTTGAAAGTCATCAAAACAATATTTTGAACACAAAATCGATAAAGCTAGGGTAAAATATGAACAAAGAAAATACTTAAATGGAGACTATGGAAAAGGTATCAGGCGAATAAAATGAGGTGTTCTAGAAGGGTAAGCGTCCTCTGTCCATCGAAAGTCGTCGTCAAAATCCCAGTCATGTTACCTTGTCGAGGCGAGAACCAGGGTAGTAACAACGAAGCAACGAGGAATACTGAGTAATATAATTAGAATGATCCTCAAAGAAATAACGTATATCTTAATGTTATCATGATAAATAACTTTGTAACATCTATATACGACTTAAACAGCTACCTGAAGCATAATAAATTCATTATCACTGGTTGTCAGTCTGAGAATACTCAAGAAGAAGTTGAGAACGGCTTAAGAACAAATAGCGGAGTACTTGGGAATGGATTTATTATCTATATACTACTTTATACCACCTACCGGTAGCATGATAAATTAATTAGCATTGGTTGCCAGTATGAGAAGAAGTTGAGAAGGGATTTTCCCATTCCCCAGCACTTGGGAATGTATTTTCTCAAAAAAGAGCGTCCGCTTGCGCCAGATGACGTCCGAAACCGGAATTAGTTTCCACACAAAAGTGATCCGCGTAAGAAAATAGTCCGTCATGAACATATCAATACAAAGTTACAAAAAAATATTGTGAGAATAACAACACCATTTCAGGTGTAAATGTGCATATGGAAAAACCAATGACGATAGGATTGATTAAAAAATATTTTTTCTACGTAGTTTTAAGTAGTAGTCTAAGGTTCATTGTATTCCTCCGCGCAAAACTTCTATTTGTTTACGTTTGTCACAGACGATCGTTGACCATTGAGCTTAGAAGTCATTTGGAAAACATAGTGTTTAGTTGAGTTTTTTAAATGTAGAAATACTTAAGATAGTAGTCTATAGATGATAAATAGTTTATCATACAGTATTTTCAGTGTTTGTCATTCGAACAATTTTCTCATCGCTCGCACGTAGATAAAATCTCGAGTCCACCTCTCGATTTTATCCACTTGCTCGCGATGAGAACTGCTCGCGATAGGTGACGTCCTAACTCGTAAAAAGATATCCACACAAAAAGTGATCTGCGGTGGCCTCTCGATTGGCCTCACGTGCTAGCAATGACAAAACGGTTTTTAGGACAAACCCTGAAAATACAGTGTAATATTCTATGAATACCTGCCCATAGTCATGATCTCTGAAAACGTTATGTTGTAAGTTTGTCCGTAAGCAGTTTGTCCGACATCTACCAGAGCATGATATTCAGAGAAAGATCGTTAGTATTTTATGTTGTAGTCTCAAATACATTTTTGAAAATGTTCATCTGTTTCCACGACAGGGGTTATTTAATGCCTAAAAGACGTCATTTTGCAGTACATCTAATCATCGTTCTTGTCTTATGATACTCTGGTGTCGAAATTTAGGTTGGAAAGGTGGCCGTTGTGACGTCAGAGATGATACCTGTGGGACCAATCCCTGTCGCCATGGTGGAACGTGTACCAACATCCCACACAACCACCACTTCTGTATGTGTACAGCAGAGTGGACAGGTAAACCTTCCCCAACATCCCACACAACCACCACTTCTGTATGTGTACAACAGAGTGGACAGGTAACCCTCCTCCAACATCTCACACAACCACCACTTCTGTATGAGTACAGCAGAATGGACAGGTAAACCTTCTCCAACATCCCACACAACCTGCACTTCTGTATGTGTACAGCAGAGTGGACAGGTAAACCTCCTCCAACATCCCACACAACCATGTACAGCAGAGTGGACGGGTCAACCTTCTCCAAACTCTCACACAACCACCCCCCACCACGTCTGTATGTGTACAGCAGAGTGGACAGGTAAATCTTCTCCAACATCCCACACAACCACCAGTTCTGTATGTGCACAGCAGAGTGGACAGGTAAATCTTCACCAACATCCCATATCACCACCACCCCTGTATGTGTACAGCAGAGTGGACAGGTAAACCCCCTCCAACATCTCACACAACCACCACGTCTGTATGTGTACAGCAGAGTGGACAGGTAAATCTTCACCAACATCCCATATCACCACCACCTCTGTATGTGTACAGCAGAGTGGACGGGTCAACCTTCTCCAAACTCTCACACAACCACCACCCACCACGTCTGTATGTGTACAGCAGAGTGGACAGGTAAACCTCCTCCAACATCTCACACAACCACCACTTCTGTATGTGTACAGCAGAGTGAACAGGTAAACCTTCTCTAACATCCCACACAACAACCACTTATTTATGTGTACAGCAGAGTGGACAGGTAAACCTCCTCCAACATCTCACACAAACACCACGTCTGTATGTGTACAGCAGAGTGGACAGGTAAACCTTCTCAAACATCTCACAAAACCACCACCTCTGTATGTGTACAGCAGAATGGACAGGTAAACATTCTCCAACATCCCACACAACCACCACTTCTGTATGTGTACAGCAGAGTGGACAGGTAAACCTTCTCCAACATCTCACACAACCACCACTTCTGTATGTGTACAGCAGAGTGGACAGGTAAACCTTCTCCAACATCCCACACAACCACCACTTCTGTATGTGTACAGCAGAGTGGACAGGTAAACCTTCTCCAACATCCCACACAACCACCACTTCTGTATGTGTACAGCAGAGTGGACAGGTAAACCTTCTCCAACATCCCACACAACCACCACTTCTGTATGTGTACAGCAGAGTGGACAGGTAAACCTTCTCCAACATCCCACACAACCACCACTTCTGTATGTGTACAGCAGAGTGGACAGGTAAACCTTCTCCAACATCCCACACAACCACCACTTCTGTATGTGTACAGCAGAGTGGACAGGTAAACCTTCTCCAACATCCCACACAACCACCACTTCTGTATGTGTACAGCAGAGTGGACAGGTAAACCTTCTCCAACATCTCACACAACCACCACTTCTGTATGTGTACAGCAGAGTGGACAGGTAAACCTCCTCCAACATCCCACACAACCACCACTTCTGTATGTGTACAGCAGAGTGGACAGGTAAACCTTCTCCAACATCCCACACAACCACCACTTCTGTATGTGTACAGCAGAGTGGACAGGTAAACCTTCTCCAACATCCCACACAACCACCACTTCTGTATGTGTACAGCAGAGTGGACAGGTAAACCTTCTCCAACATCCCACACAACCACCACTTCTGTATGTGTACAGCAGAGTGGACAGGTAAACCTTCTCCAACATCCCACACAACCACCACTTCTGTATGTGTACAGCAGAGTGGACAGGTAAACCTTCTCCAACATCCCACACAACCACCACTTCTGTATGTGTACAGCAGAGTGGACAGGTAAACCTTCTCCAACATCCCACACAACCACCACTTCTGTATGTGTACAGCAGAGTGGACAGGTAAACCTTCTCCAACATCCCACACAACCACCACTTCTGTATGTGTACAGCAGAGTGGACAGGTAAACCTTCTCCAACATCCCACACAACCACCACCTCTGTATGTGTACAGCAGAGTGGACAGGTAAACCTTCTCCAACATCTCACACAACCACCACTTCTGTATGTGTACAGCAGAGTGGACAGGTAAACCTTTTCCAACATCTCACACAACCACCACTTCTGTATGTGTACAGCAGAGTGGACAGGTAAACTTTTTCCAACATCTCACACAATCGCCACTTCTGTATGTGTACACCAGAGTGGACAGGTAAACCTTCTCCAACATCCCACACAACCGCCACTTCAGGACATGGCTGTGCGTCGAGGTCTATTGAATTCGTTGTTTACTACAGTAGTGACAAAAGTTCCTAGTACTCAGTATTATACTTCAGGACATAACTGTGAGTCGAGATCTGCTGGATACATTGTTTACTACAGTAGTGATAAAGTTCCTAGAACTAAGGATTGTACTTCAGGACATAACTGTGAGTCGAGATCTGCTGGATACATTGTTTACTACAGGAGTGATAAAGTTCCTAGTACTCAGTATTGTACTTTAGGACATAACTGTGAGTCGAGGTCTGCTGGACACATTGTATACTATAGTAGTGATAAAGTTCCTAGAACTCAGTATTGTACTTCAGGACATAACTGTGAGGCGAGGTCTGCTGGATACATTGTATACTATAGCAGCGATAAAGTTCCTAGTACTCAGTATTGTAGTTCAGGATATAACTGTGAGTCGAGGTCTGCTGGATACATTGTATACTATAGTAGTGCTAAAGTTCCTAGTACTCAGTATTGTACTTCAGGACATTACTGTTAGTCGAGATCTGCTGTATACATTGTTTACTACAGTAGTGATAAAGTTCCTAGTACTCAGTATTGTACTTTAGGACATAACTGTGAGTCGAGGTCTGCTGGATACATTGTTTACTACAGTTGTGATAAAGTTCCTAGTACTCAGTATTGTACTTAAGGACATAACTGTGAGTCGAGGTCTGCTGGACACATTGTATACTATAGTAGTGATAAAGTTCCTAGAACTCAGTATTGTACTTCAGGACATAACTGTGAGGCGAGGTCTGCTGGATACATTGTATACTATAGTAGTGATAAAGTTCCTAGTACTCATTATTGTACTTCAGGACATAACTGTGAGTCGAGATCTGCTGGATACATTGTTTACTACAGTAGTGATAAAGTTCCTAGAACTAAGGATTGTACTTCAGGACATAACTGTGAGTCGAGGGCTGCTGGATACATTGTATACTATAGTAGTGATAAAGTTCCGAGTACTCAGTATTGTACTTCAGGACATAACTGTGAGGCGAGGTCTGCTGGATACATTGTATACTATAGCAGCGATAAAGTTCCTAGTACTCAGTATTGTAGTTCAGGATATAACTGTGAGTCGAGGTCTGCTGTATACATTTTATACTATAGTAGTGATAAAGTTCCTAGTACTCATTATTGTACTTCAGGACATAACTGTGAGTCGAGGGCTGCTGGATACATTGTATACTATAGTAGTGATAAGGTTCCTAGTACTCAGTATTGTACTTCAGGACATTACTGTTAGTCGAGATCTGCTGTATACATTGTTTACTACAGTAGTGATAAAGTTCCTAGTACTCAGTCTTGTACTTCAGGACATAACTGTGAGTCGAGGGCTGCTGGATACATTGTATACTATAGTAGTGATAAAGTTCCTAGAACTCAGTATTGTACTTCAGGACATAACTGTGAGGCGAGGTCTGCTGGATACATTGTATACTATAGTAGTGCTAAAGTTCCTAGTACTCAGTATTGTACTTCAGGATATAACTGTGAGTCGAGGTCTGCTGTATACATTTTATACTATAGTAGTGATAAAGTTCCTAGTACTCATTATTGTACTTCAGGACATAACTGTGAGTCGAGGTCTGCTGGATAAATTATTTACTACAGTAGTGATAAAGTTCCTAGAACTAAGTATTGTACTTCAGGACATAACTGTGAGTCGAGATCTGCTGTATACATTGTTTACTACAGTAGTGATAAAGTTCCTAGTACTCAGTATTGTACTTCAGGACATAACTGTGAGACACCAGTACACGGCGCCTGGACACCCGACGTCATCATGATAGCGCCTTAACCCCTGGACGTCAGCATGATAGCGCCTTGACCCCTGGACGATCGAACGTGGTGTGCCTCTACAACTACTTTTTGTATGTTGACAAAACAATAATTGTAAAAGTTAAAACAAATGACGTGATATACATTGTTGATTGTTTTTATTTATTCATAGTCTTAAACAAACGACCGCATATAGGCAAGACATACACATATTCATGACGTGATCATTATCGATCTTATTGTGACTTCATAATTCATTATTATTTTATCGCCCGTTTTACGCTATTTAAATTTGTAGAAAACAATAGAATATTATATAATTGAAGATCAATATCAAAATAATATAAAATTTCGTAGAAATAGATAGATAGAGCTCTGTTAAATTTTAGCTTTAAAAGGTTGAACAAACCTTGTTGAGTGGGCTGTTTGTGTATTACGACAACGTTCCCCCTTCCCCGGCTAGTGTTACCAAACTGTTGAAGTTTAAAGTAAGATGTGTCTTTATTAAACGCTGGTTATTAAAAATATCTAAGTCTTTATCGCCCGGAGCCTCATGGAGATAACAGTGGATCTCTGCCAATCGCACACAACGAACTTTTAGTGTTCCCCATATAATTTCCAATATAGGTATTCAAGTCTCTTACAATATCGTCGAGATCAGTTATTGTCATAATCTCAATATCGGAATCGCTCTCTGTTTCTCGAACCGCAAAGTCCATGGCATTCGTGATCTTGACACTTACTTGTTTTGTTGTGCCGTCCTTTGCGTTTCTTGTTCCAAATCGACTATTTCGTTATTACTGCAGAGCATGAAGACATGTTTGACGTCGAACATATTATGTTATGACAGCGCAATATGACGTCACTTCAGCTAAAATCAAACAGAACCATAGAGGAATAGCGCCTGCAGGAAATGGAGTCACGAGGATTAGTGCCCGGAGTCAATGATCGCCACCCGTGGTCAAGGGGCAGGGTCGTGGAAAACGGTATTGTACTTAATAGAACACACGAAGCTTTACACGAAGAAATTAACATTTGACGTAATAAAACCAAATAATATCACAGCCGTCAAAGATTATATGATGACGTCACAATGGGGACAATATATATATAGAGCCATACCGGTACATTTTTAAACTTCGCGAAAGACATTTCGGGGAAATCGGTGTATTTGACAACTACATGTTTTACAAGCATATTAACTTCCTTTCCATTTTATACGAGACGTAGAAAACTCGTTACGGTATATTTTTTTTCGTTTGGTATTTCAGTGAGATAGCATTAAAAATTCGGCATCAGTTCCGCGATATCACAAGGAGGCAATAACACAAACATGCCATGCCTCCTGTAAGCACACATACACAACACACATGGTAGCATAACGAAACAGAAAGGAGGTCCAAAGGTCGACTCCTGTTTTGCTCTGTTATGTCTGTTGAAGGCACCCAGCACAAGATCTACCCGGTCACATTATACTGACAACAGATGAACCAGGAGTTGGCATTACTCTAAACATTAAATGTTAAGCAGGTAATAACAGCTACAATTTATAAGGTCTTTGGTATGCCTTGGGACAGAACCCGTATCATTTCATCACTTAGGCGAACGTTCAACATTAAAGCCAAAAATGAGATATTGCCAAGCAAAGCGCAAGGAAATAAAAAGTAGTGAGGAGTAAAAGAAACATATTGAAATCTGAAGTAATAAGTCATAAAAGTGGGCCACTTCACACATTGTTATTAGTGAGACACGTGATGGTGCTGATATACCGCCACACAGACCAAGGAACTCCATGTTACTACTGCAAGTGTCCTGGCTTCCATCATCACCATGATGTCCGTCGGTCATTTTGTTATCTTGTCGCTTGTGTACGGAATCATGGAGGTAATATAACAATGTCGGGACTCAATTACTTATTTATTTTCACACTTTTTTACATTGAAATTCCTTCTCAGCCATTTTTATCATTTTGAAATTGTTGCATAATAACCAAGAGAATACATATTTGTACATTCAGACATGACTCCTTAACCTATCTTTTGTTTGATTCATCCTCACACATTATCAGTAAGAATACCCGATACTCCTGACAGGTAATGGCTGGTGGTACGGTGTACATCCGGTTTCTCTCTTACTCCAACCCCTCACACAAAGACGCCACAGGCCAGTGCTGTGAGAGTCTGAGTACCAGCGGATGTGGTGCCAACGAGTGTGATCCGTTCTTCAAAATATGTGTGGGACTTCTGTCCAGTTCTGGGTGAGTGTTACTCATCTCCATCGACATAGTTATTGTGTAACTCGAGTAATTAAACCTGTGGCTAACCCATTGTCTCATATCATAACTACAAGTTTATCTGCATTGGCAAACTGTACTCGGGACGATTCTTATGGTATGTTTTGTTGTAGATTTTCGCAATAACAGCGAATAACACCCCATTTAATAGGAACTCTATACGATTTTATTTTATAAATACATAAATTGTTAGTTGCTTTTATGACTTATTAGGTGATAAACATCAGCTTCGTGAATGAAATATGTTGATTGTGTCTGCCTGTTACAGTCTTCGTTACATTCACTACATACTTGTATTGCACCTTACTGTGTACACATATATATATATTGCATCTATTGATGATGCCCAAGTGTAACAACAAAAGTTACGTCCTTTACACGTATGCAGCCTTGATTACGACTGCTGCTTATGTTATTAAGGTGTGAGTACGGTAGTGTGAAGACAGAGGTGTACGACAATACGGACACCATCAGGTTCGGCAATGTCATCAGAACCATGCCTAATCCCATCGTAAAGACATTCAACAATTGGGGGGTAGGTACTTTTTATATGAAACACAACAATTGAGGAGGGGGGGGGGGAGGGACAGGGTACTTTTTTTTTATATAAAACAATAATGGGGGGGAGGTACTGTGTATATAAAACAACAAGGGCGGTAGGTACTGTGTATATAAAACAACAAAGGGGGTAGGTACTGTGTATATAAAACATCAATGGGGGTAGGTACTGTGTATATAAAACATCAATGGGGGTAGGTACTGTGTATATAAAACAACAATTGCTAAACATTTGGAATAAACTCATCATTTTGGGAATGCTACACCTATAGCCACATTGCTATATTATTCATCAATGACAGTGTACACTTCACTCCGGGACATGTCACTCTTCTTTATTTCTCGTTGTGTTAAACACCATCGTGTTACCTTCATCATTTGTTGTATTTATCATAATGCGTCCTATTTTTCACATTCTCTCGGTGTTTCGTGCACCTTTCCTTTTCCTGTAACTAGTCCGGAATACACGTGAAAGTAGACGTACTTGACAGAGATGGGACGACTTTTTTGGGTAGTGATGACCTAATCGGATCAGTAGATCACCAAATAACAGGACCTGTTGACCAAAACGGCATACTGCTGCACAATACCACCAAGCCTATCAAAGGAGGGGCAGCTGAGTAAGTACAATATAGCATGGCTTTAAATAGACCTACGGCTGTAAGGGTTAGGATAGACCTTCATTCGTAAGGATTGGAGCAGACATTAAATGGTAATTATCTGTTTAATACTTTCTTTTCAATATTTTGAATAGGCCATCAGCTTAAAGGATCAGGGTAGACCTTAGAATGGTAGGGTTGAGGTAGATTTTGGATGCTTGGATTGACGTAGACCTTAGGATGTTGAGGTCGCGATAGATCTTCGGCTGTCAGGATTGACGGCTGACCTCCATTTACAGTGTTCGAGGTAGACCTTTCGTCGAAACATTTAGGGTAGGTTTTCGTTTGTAGACTTTTGTAGACGTTTGTTTGGTCATAATTAAGAATCATAGTCGACATACAGTAGAAAGGATCGGGGTAGATTTTATGTTAGAATAGGAAGATAATTTGGCCGATCATTCACGTACATCAAAATATCGAAATTGTAAAAAAAAAAAAATGCATCTTTTCAACGGAAATAGGATTGTATTGTGTTTAATATTATTGAGGTATGGGAAACACGTGCTGTTTGTTTTTAGATTGGTTATACAGTACAGAATTGTGTGTGAGCAGCATTACTATGGCGACTGTTCCGTATCGTGTCGACCATTGCTACCCAAGTACAACTGTAGTAGTAGCGGCCAAAAACTATGCTTACCAGGTATATATGGTGTTTATCTGGTTATACAAATTATAATACTTTCGATATTATCTTTTATTAACATTGTAGACACTTAATATATGTTTACCGGCTAAATGTTGGTTAAATCTTGTAAAAACAAATATATATGCTTAGCAGGTATCATATAGCGTTGATAATGTAGAGACATTATACGCGTACCCGACATTACATAGTTTTTATCTTGTAGAGATAAACGATGTACCTATGAATATTCGTATTATATAAAGTTACCTTTCTGGAACAAAATATATGCATATGTTTATAAAGTATTTAACTTAAAGAGACAAAAGATATGTGTGTGTAGACAGAGTTGTTGCTGGCTACCTTATTGGTAAAATGGATGACATTAGTGTGGGTGTCATTTAATTAAAAGCATTTATTATCGAATTATTATCTTCATCAAACTTTATTTTTATGATTCGACATATAACATTATTTAGGACAACATTGTGTGTCTCCGTCAAACTTTCTACTCCATTAATAAATACACCTGTCTATTATAACTGGATAAATAGCCTGTTTGTACCGACAGGATGGGTGGGATTCCGGTGTAGTATACCAGACCACTCCTGTGTAACAAAACCTTGTCACAATGGTGGTACTTGTACAGATATCCCAACCAACAAATACCTATGTACCTGTCTGAACGGATGGACAGGTATGTTATTATACTGAATGGTATGTACCATTCAATATGAACGTTTTCAATTAAAGAAAATTATTAACGATTTATTGCGAACAATTTGTAGTATCGCATCAAAATAATTATATTGAGCTAAAAGAGCACCTTTTGGCAAGCTTTATCCGATTTGCTCATTCGCAGTACAGCGACTCGCCATATATAATGCTTTATAAAAAAATAAATGGTATTTGTTAAAAGTACTTTGATGAGATAGTACAACATGTACGTTGTTTTCCGTGTCTATTTTGGTCATAAGAACATGAACTTTGGTTTAATCTCACAAACTATTGATCAAATACCGTATTCTCTAAAATGTTGAACATTTCGGTTGTTTGATATTTGTTTGCCATCAAAATCTCTGAAAAAATTCCAATGAATTCGAAAAACTTGTAGTATTATAACTACCACAAAGTTGAAAAGATTGGATAATGACAACTTCTAAAATTTTTAGTATATTGTTCAGTGAAACTAATATTTAGTGTTAAATCTATCAATATATAACATTATTATGCAAGCCAATTATGATTCAGCGCAAATTACAGTATTTAGCAACATCGCACTGTAAGTATACAAGCGTTTGTTATCCGGCCTCAACTTGTGTATGTATTTCATGTTAGTGGAGGACTCTTCCGATACATGCGGCCTGTTTGATTGCATCTGTTTTTAGAGTCTGAAACGTCTGATTTGCTTGCTCCTCCACGCATTTACCTTATATTCTAAGAAAAATATACACATATATATTTCTGGTACTTTAGGACAGACCTGCGAGACGTTTGCGCTGCCTCCATCAACGAAGACAACCATTGTCACTTCCAAAACGTCAACACAAACAGCCGTGACGTCATCAACTCCGTCTACAATACAAGGAGCAGTTACGTCATCAGCACAGAAACTAGACACGTCAACATCCCAAAGACAATCCATGTCAACAACACAAAAACGATCGACATCGACAACAAAGAAAGCACTGACGTTAACAACACAGGAACAAACTACGTCTTCAACACAAGGACATAATATTAATAATACGCTGTTTTCCTCAACACCACAAACAGTTTCACAAAATGTTTCTTCAAAAACAGCAACATCCGACACTAAAAGTACATCTTCTTGGCTGGTAAATAGTACGTCGCCTGAAGCCACAACGTCCAACATAGCAACGCCCACAACACCAAGCCAAAATACTACAGGTGCATCATGTCACTTTAAGATGGCTTCCAGCCTTATAAATGGTAATATGTTAAAGCGTACAGCGGTAATACGAAGATTGTTTGTCACCATAATGTTTCGCACTTATTATTATTACGTAAATGGGCATATTCAATTGAGGTAATAAATATTGTTCGATAACATTTGATGCACACTTTGTAGATTACTTGGTGATTGCAATAACTACAATGTTCTATAGTGTTCCACAATTTATGTGGCTACATTTAAATGCTAAGTTTGCTTTGAAAACTTACTGAATTTTATGTAGCTTTTTAGATGTTAAGAATAGGTATATAGTTTAGCAACATGTAATCTAGCTTACTTGGTATTGAGAAATTTTGACCAGTTCATAAGAACGTATTATAAGGGAATTATATATTTGGCAGGAACAAACATTACCCGGGTACAGCTCTCTGGCATCAACAGGAAGGAGTTGACTGCTGCAGATGTAAAACGAATACTAGAACAAACGGTCCATCCTACCAGTCTTCGTCCGGTATCACTCGACGATAGTGTGTAAGTAGGAATGTATACATGATTAATGGGGGGAGGGAAGGATAATGTGTCGCTATAAATCGATATATCCTAGTGAGGTAATACTCTCATCAATATCTTTGTTGTCCGCCTGAATGTTTGCAAAAGTTACTCAATGACGATGACGGTTATTAAAATGTGTAAAATAACAATTATATTATTACACAAGCGTATAAGAATATATTGTTTATACATATTCACTTCAGAATTAGCATGCATATCACTGATCTTCGAATGGTCACGTGAAGTATCTGGCCAAGATGAACATGTGCCGAACGAGACATTTCATTTTTTTACATATTGACTATATATACGGATTTATCTACCGTACCTAAATGGATTTTGTTATTTTAGCATGGTTTTTGACATGGAAATAACCTACAACGTGTCTACGATTACCAGCAAGCTCCTTCCACGTGTACAGAGAGAATTGTGTCGAATGGAAACAAAGGTAACACCTTCTTCTTACTCAAATAAATCATTGTAAATTTATGTCTGTAAGTGTTTGAAAACAGACGAGTTATTTCCGTCTTATTTAGCCAAAGAGATAACTCTTGATGGCTACTATTAGCTCTTAACAGGTTTGATGACAAAGAAAGAAATAGTTTTGACATAAGTGATAAATATGATCCTATTACACCACCACACTATCTATATTTGTCGAAAGGTTCCAGGTTCTGCCACAGGTCGGGAGGCCAGTGAAGCCGGGGAGGCGAGCTCCGATAACTCCGATAACTCCGATAACTCCGGGCCAGTTATTGGTGGGGTACTAGGAGCTCTCTTCCTCATCGCTATCCTCGGTGTGGCCGCGTTCTTCTTATACAGGTAACATTTCATGTCACAAACTAATCATAGACCAAACAAACGTTCGGACAGATATTTCAAAGTAGAAATAGCCCAGATTGGATAACTTCATATGAAAACATGTACGAGTTATCGAATTTCATTTCAAATCAATTTTAATGCGTTTAAGACACAATTGGATTAGGCACAGAACGATAATTATAATCAGTACCTGTAAATTGTAGTTTAGAAAAAATGAGGTTTAAACAGTATAACTACACTGAATTTTACAATAACATTGCAACGATATATCAAACTTATCAAAAATATTTATCTGTTATTCGCGTTTTGTTTAAACTAATTTATGTACATATTTTCGTACAAAATCAAACATTAAATGCATAAATGAAACAAATCTATTTCCTTTTTTTCCACTTTCTGAAAGATGGAATAAGAAAAGAAATAAAGTGACGGGTGAAAAGATTGACAACGAGTGCTCTTCAACGAGTGAAATACGGAACAAGATCTCGGCCAAAGACGTGGACATATCTTCCCCGCCCGCCTCTACACACAGACAGACAGACCAACCAGTTAGCATCGCCTCTACACAGATACAGACAGACCAACCAGTTAACATCGCCTCGACATAGATACAGACAGACCAACCAGTAAACATCGCCTCTACACAGAAACCGACCAACCAACCAGTCGATTAAACTACACACATCGCCTCTACACAGATACAGACCGACCAACCAGTCGATTACACTACACACATCGCCTCTACACAGATACAAACTGACCAACCAGTCAATTTAACAACACACATCGCCTCGACACAGATACAGACAGACCAACCAGTCAATTAAACTACATACAGTTCATAGCTTCGACACAAAGATGGGCCAGTCTTGAACTAACTGTCCATACACGAATTGGAACATAGAAGTGGATCATATAGCTTATTTCTACGTTTTCCCTTGTATTAATGTTGTAATTGAAAATCGACGTATGGCTGATGTAGAAGTGTCTGTAGTGTTCTTTAATTCACGATCAGGAGAGTACAGTATATACGATCGATGTGGTACATGCATTTGTTTTTTAAATATGACATATCGACAATATACCTGAAGGTAAATCGGAGGACTAATCAATGTTTTTTCAAACCTCATGCGGTAAGTGCTATAAAAATTTCAGTCTCCAATTATAAAAACCAAGTCGGAAAAAAGAGGACACAGTTTGTCAAAACGGTTTTACCAACAGCCGACTGAAAAATCAACAGGTTGTTGTCGATCAATTCGCAATTTCATCTGCATAATGTATCATCCAGGCTTTTCCCAAAAACAACAATTTGCTCAAAAAATGTCACAACCATATAATTGTAAAAACAATCGATTATCTTTGGGAAAAGTATCATATTTAGGAAACGAAGACGTATTTTGAGTTTGTTGGAAGGTAAGGTAATGTATTAAAATGAAACGTCCCGATATTATAAACATTTTTGAGGTGAGGAAGCTGCATAGGGATTAAAAGATATTTTGAGTTGTTTAAAATCCACATTTCATTACTGCCACTTCTTGAGCAAACAGTGTCACAAGTGAGATACATGTATAACCCATGGACACATCCCAGCGCTGGAGGGCACATCGCTGACGACTACTCACTATATATTTTCGATTGGTTTAAGTACATTATAAATGCATATGTATGTGCACATTGATATTTGTTTCTGATCATTAGTACGGGGAGTCTTTTATAAGTTTTATCCATGTCGATTTCAGTGTTATTAATAAATCGTACATTATAGTCAAATAAAACAATTGAACGGTTTTTTATTGTTTTTATTAGTTTTCCTCAAGGGCATTACCACTCGTAACTGCCCTAAAGAACAGTACCGAAATTATACATGTAGCTTTGGTTTTCCAGATATTGTACATGGAGAAAGGGCTAAATTGGTAACAGATTACTTAAGCTGGTACATTTGTAACAAGTAAGGGTGTAGTGTAAAGTATGATATGACACTGTACATGTGTAATTTTGTACAAATTAAGATGTAGTCTAGCGTACAGTGTATGTTTAAAGTATTATGATAAGCACCGAGTCCTACTTTACGAAATGGTCTTATCAGAATTCGTCATGATTCTTAAGAACCTCCCCGTAATCCAGCGCCTGACTTCCTACGAACATGTTGAAGTTGGTGAGTACCTCCTCCTTGGTGAGAACCTCATCCTACAACAACAAGAGACAGTATGTGTGTTCACGGTGTTGTATTGGAACCGGAGAATTACATCTTACCCAAACAGAAGCTACTGTGTTTTGTTAATATACGTTTTATTATTGAAAATGATAACGTTTTCAAAGGAATGCCTGTGACTTGGTGTAAAATGATGCCCAGGACAGCGGTTGTGATGAGAAGTCGAACTCACCTTGTTTAAGTCTGAGTGGTGAATAAGATGCCTAGCCTCGACCAGGGCGGGGTTATAATTGGAGGGGTTGATCCACTCTCTCATCTCCTCGAAATCCAGCACTCCGTCGCTGTCTTTGTCCCGGTAATTAGTAAACTCCTTCCTACGTAGACTTATCCATGTGGGATCTTGTGTCCGTTTATCAGAAGGATGCACGTCCGCTGGAAGTGTAAGCAGGGGATGTAAAGTATCGATAAAGTGAGACATTCGTAATCGTAAAAGTCGAATTTGTTTTCTTGCCCACAATTCGATTTATTTTTCGTCTCTAACAGAAACAGCAATATGTATATCGACATAGAAAGCTCACATGGTTTTATCATATATCCTTATAATGACAAACTTACACGGTACAGGTCACAGTTGATCACTTCTTAGGATAGTTTTAATTATTTGGACTCCTGTGACCTTGAAAGTTGGTCGAGGTCATATTTTTTTATAAACCTGTTATCGTGTCATCCTAGCAAGCTAAAACTATAGATCTGTCTCGGCACCATGGTGCGTTAGATTTTATTTGAAGTTTAACACATTTGACGTTTAACATATCAGGAATTATTAACAGAGTTGCTAGCAACAAAATATTATTTCAAGCGCCGTGTCAAATGTCATGAAACTAAGTCATAAGATTTCCTACAAAATATCGGAAATGTCAAAAGTCTACATCATCATTAAATTACCTGCAAAATCGCATACACCATCAACCACTTCATCAACTTAGCTGTTAATTCGATTATAATATCATTTACTCACCAAGGTATTCGTCTATATCATTACCAGTTTAATCAAATTACTTATGAAATCGTCAATATCACATCGACTTTCCTTTTCCCTCGCTTATATCCTTATTTTTTCCTGTGGTATTCGTCTATACCATCGACTTTCCTGTGACATCGTCTGTATCGTCAACCTACCTACCTTTTACCTCGCCTATACCATTATCTTTCCTGTGACTTTGACTGTATCGTCAACCTACCTACCTTTTTCCTGGCCTATATCATTATCTTTCCTGTGACTTCGTCTGTATCATCAATCANTCTTTCCTGTGACTTTGACAGTATCGTCAACCTACCTACCTTTTACCTCGCCTATATCATTATCTTTCCTGTGACTTTGACTGTATCATTAACCTATCTACCTTTTACCTGGCCTATATCATTATCTTTCCTGTGACTTCGTCTGTATCGCCAACCTACCTACCTTTTACCTGGGCTATATCATTATCTTTCCTGTGACTTCGACTGTATCATCAACCTACCTACCTTTTACCTGGCCTATACCATTATCTTTCCTGTGACTTTGACAGTATCGTCAACCTACCTACCTTTTACCTCGCCTATATCATTATCTTTCCTGTGACTTTGACTGTATCATTAACCTATCTACCTTTTACCTGGCCTATATCATTATCTTTCCTGTGACTTCGTCTGTATCGCCAACCTACCTACCTTTTACCTGGGCTATATCATTATCTTTCCTGTGACTTCGACTGTATCATCAACCTACCTACCTTTTACCTGGCCTATACCATTATCTTTCCTGTGACTTTGACAGTATCGTCAACCTACCTACCTTTTACCTCGCCTATATCATTATCTTTCCTGTGACTTTGACTGTATCATTAACCTATCTACCTTTTACCTGGCCTATATCATTATCTTTCCTGTGACTTCGTCTGTATCGCCAACCTACCTACCTTTTACCTGGGCTATATCATTATCTTTCCTGTGACTTCGACTGTATCATCAACCTACCTACCTTTTACCTGGCCTATACCATTATCTTTCCTGTGACTTTGACAGTATCGTCAACCTACCTACCTTTTACCTCGCCTATATCATTATCTTTCCTGTGACTTTGACTGTATCATTAACCTATCTACCTTTTACCTGGCCTATATCATTATCTTTCCTGTGACTTCGTCTGTATCGCCAACCTACCTACCTTTTACCTGGGCTATATCATTATCTTTCCTGTGACTTCGACTGTATCATCAACCTACCTACCTTTTACCTGGCCTATACCATTATCTTTCCTGTGACTTTGACAGTATCGTCAACCTACCTACCTTTTACCTCGCCTATATCATTATCTTTCCTGTGACTTTGACTGTATCATTAACCTATCTACCTTTTACCTGGCCTATATCATTATCTTTCCTGTGACTTCGTCTGTATCGCCAACCTACCTACCTTTTACCTGGGCTATATCATTATCTTTCCTGTGACTTCGACTGTATCATCAACCTACCTACCTTTTACCTGGCCTATACCATTATCTTTCCTGTGACTTTGACAGTATCGTCAACCTACCTACCTTTTACCTCGCCTATATCATTATCTTTCCTGTGACTTTGACTGTATCATTAACCTATCTACCTTTTACCTGGCCTATATCATTATCTTTCCTGTGACTTCGTCTGTATCGCCAACCTACCTACCTTTTACCTGGGCTATATCATTATCTTTCCTGTGACTTCGACTGTATCATCAACCTACCTACCTTTTACCTGGCCTATACCATTATCTTTCCTGTGACTTTGACAGTATCGTCAACCTACCTACCTTTTACCTCGCCTATATCATTATCTTTCCTGTGACTTTGACTGTATCATTAACCTATCTACCTTTTACCTGGCCTATATCATTATCTTTCCTGTGACTTCGTCTGTATCGCCAACCTACCTACCTTTTACCTGGGCTATATCATTATCTTTCCTGTGACTTCGACTGTATCATCAACCTACCTACCTTTTACCTGGCCTATACCATTATCTTTCCTGTGACTTTGACAGTATCGTCAACCTACCTACCTTTTACCTCGCCTATATCATTATCTTTCCTGTGACTTTGACTGTATCATTAACCTATCTACCTTTTACCTGGCCTATATCATTATCTTTCCTGTGACTTCGTCTGTATCGCCAACCTACCTACCTTTTACCTGGGCTATATCATTATCTTTCCTGTGACTTCGACTGTATCATCAACCTACCTACCTTTTACCTGGCCTATACCATTATCTTTCCTGTGACTTTGACAGTATCGTCAACCTACCTACCTTTTACCTCGCCTATATCATTATCTTTCCTGTGACTTTGACTGTATCATTAACCTATCTACCTTTTACCTGGCCTATATCATTATCTTTCCTGTGACTTCGTCTGTATCGCCAACCTACCTACCTTTTACCTGGGCTATATCATTATCTTTCCTGTGACTTCGACTGTATCATCAACCTACCTACCTTTTACCTGGCCTATACCATTATCTTTCCTGTGACTTTGACAGTATCGTCAACCTACCTACCTTTTACCTCGCCTATATCATTATCTTTCCTGTGACTTTGACTGTATCATTAACCTATCTACCTTTTACCTGGCCTATATCATTATCTTTCCTGTGACTTCGTCTGTATCGCCAACCTACCTACCTTTTACCTGGGCTATATCATTATCTTTCCTGTGACTTCGACTGTATCATCAACCTACCTACCTTTTACCTGGCCTATACCATTATCTTTCCTGTGACTTTGACAGTATCGTCAACCTACCTACCTTTTACCTCGCCTATATCATTATCTTTCCTGTGACTTTGACTGTATCATTAACCTATCTACCTTTTACCTGGCCTATATCATTATCTTTCCTGTGACTTCGTCTGTATCGCCAACCTACCTACCTTTTACCTGGGCTATATCATTATCTTTCCTGTGACTTCGACTGTATCATCAACCTACCTACCTTTTACCTGGCCTATACCATTATCTTTCCTGTGACTTTGACAGTATCGTCAACCTACCTACCTTTTACCTCGCCTATATCATTATCTTTCCTGTGACTTTGACTGTATCATTAACCTATCTACCTTTTACCTGGCCTATATCATTATCTTTCCTGTGACTTCGTCTGTATCGCCAACCTACCTACCTTTTACCTGGGCTATATCATTATCTTTCCTGTGACTTCGACTGTATCATCAACCTACCTACCTTTTACCTGGCCTATACCATTATCTTTCCTGTGACTTTGACAGTATCGTCAACCTACCTACCTTTTACCTCGCCTATATCATTATCTTTCCTGTGACTTTGACTGTATCATTAACCTATCTACCTTTTACCTGGCCTATATCATTATCTTTCCTGTGACTTCGTCTGTATCGCCAACCTACCTACCTTTTACCTGGGCTATATCATTATCTTTCCTGTGACTTCGACTGTATCATCAACCTACCTACCTTTTACCTGGCCTATACCATTATCTTTCCTGTGACTTTGACTGTATCGTCAACCTACCTACCTTTTACCTCGCCTATATCATTATCTTTCCTGTGACTTTGACTGTATCATCAACCTACCTACCTTTTACCTCGCCTATATCATTATCTTAACTTTTGATTCGTCTACATCATCTACACAATTCGGTTCTGTTATCATTACTTACCTATGAACTCTTGTTAACATTACTTACCTATGAACTCTTGTTAACATTACTGACCTATGAACTCTTGTTAACATTACTTACCTATGAACTCTTGTTATCATTACTTACCTATGAACTCTTGTTAACATTACTTACCTATGAACTATTGTTATCATTACTTACCTATGAACTCTTGTTATCATTACTTACCTATGAATTCTTGTTATCATTACTTATCTATGAACTCTTGTTATCATTACTTTCCTATGAACTCTTGTTATCATTACTTACCTATGAACTCTTGTTATCATTACTAATACTTACCTATGAACTCTTCCACATCGATTTTACCGTCCTTGTTCGTATCGAGCTTGTCTAGATATTCCTGCAACGAGAAATAATATTAAAAATATCTTCTTATATTTCAATGCATGATATAAATTAAACACTCTAAATAATCGATATCTATTTAGATGGATAAAATAAACAAAGAAGGATAAAACATACATTATAAACCAGAGAAAGTGGGCAGGACTTACACTACACACACACCATCAATAATGAAACATTTTAGTAATAGTGATCTTGACATGTGACCAAGCCCATTTCGAACTTCTCTAACAGATATCAAAATAACCATATTTATGACGTTTTATTAAAACTGAAAAAAGGAATATGACCGCTAGAATGATTACAAGAAGCGTGACGTTGGAACTTTATTTTATATTTGATCTTAGACAGATAATGCCTTTATACAAACATGTTTAAGTTATGTCAAAGGCAAACAAGACTACGATTTCCATTTCCTACTCGGACTCTATACGACTGTAAGAGTCCATTTCCTACTCAGACTCTATACGGCTGTAAGAGTCTATTTCCTACTCGGACTCTATACGGCTGTAAGAGTCAATTTCCTACTCCGACTCTATATGGCTGTAAGAGTCCATATCCTACTCAGACTCTATACGTCTGTAAGAGTCAAATTCCTACTCAGACTCTATACGTCTGTAAGAGTCCATATCCTACCCAGACTCTATACGGCTGTAAGAATCCATATCCTACTCAGACTCTATACGGCTGTAAGAGTCTATTTCCTACTCGGACTCTATACGGCTGTAAGAGTCCATTTCCTACTCTGACTCTTTACGGCTGTAAGAGTCCATATCCTACTCAGACTCTATACGGCTGTAAGAGTCCATTTCCTACTCAGACTCTATACGTCTGTAAGAGTCAACTTCCTACTCAGACTCTTTACGTCTGTAAGAGTCCATATCCTACTCAGACTCTATACGGCTGTAAGAATCCATATCCTACTCAGACTCTATACGGCTGTAAGAGTCCATTTCCTACTCGGACTCTATACGGCTGTAAGAGTCAACTTTCTACTCAGACTCTATACGTCTGTAAGAGTCCATTTCCTACTCGGACTCTTTACGGTTGTAAGAGTCCATTTCATATTCGGACTCGATACGGCTGTAAGAGTCAACTTTCTACTCCGACTCTATACGTCTGTAAGATTCCATTTCCTACTCCGACTCTATACGGCTGAAAGAGTCCATTTCCTACTCAGACTCTATACGGCTGTAAGAGTCCATTTCCTACTCGGACTCTTTACGGCTGTAAGAGTCCATTTCATACTCGGACTCGATACGGCTGTAAGAGTGATGACATGAGACTTGAAGGCAAATTCTATTTTTAGTAACAGTGACCTTGACTTTGGACCGATCACGTCAATGTCGATGTAGATATAAACACGTATATATTTAAACTTTGTTTTCAACTACCGGGTTAAACAGGAATTCCATACCGTTATAAGCAGGTATAAAATGACTGCTACAGGAAAGACACGTGTGGTATGTGTGCTCAACGAAAATCCACAGACAACCGATCTTCCTGATATATTTTCGCTCCAAAGGGGATTTTGTTGACCCCTCACCTATGCCCCTGATCTTCTGACTACAAAGTGAACCTTACATGTACAAGGATATCCTTAGTGTGATTGCCCTCCTCCGGATGGAGGAAATACATGAATTCTGTTTTCGTCAGTTGATTATCCTTGTTGATATCGGCGGCCTCCCAGCGACGTCGTTCCTCCTTCACCCTCTCCCTGTGTTTGTACAAGGGTGAGTGGGGACTATCAACGTTCTCTGTAACAGACATACCAGATAGGCTGATCATGTGTCCTTAATATGTAAGAAGGTTTATACATGTATCCGTTATAGACAGGTTGCCTAAAGTGTTCGTTATAGACAGGTTGTGACGTACATCTTATAAAGAGTGTCCGTTATAGACAATTACTTACATATTCGCTTTCAATAAGCTAATACTTGTCCGTTATAGACAGGCTAATAAACATGTCAATTTTGGCAGAATGATTTATTCTTGTGTAAAAACAAGTAAATACATATGTTCGTTCTATACAGGTAAATATACATGTCCGTTATAGACAGATTGATGTGTTCTTAATGTGTACGAAGGTTGTTACAAGTATCCGTTATAGATATGTTAGCAGACGTGTCCGTAATAGACAGGTTGTAACATATCCGTTTTATGCAGGTTAATATATGCCCGTTATAGACAGGTAAATACAAGTGTCCTTTAACATAAGTAAGAAGAGTGATACGCGTGTCCAATGTAGACATGTTGATATATATTCTGTTAAAGACAGGTTGACACACACGTAGGTACATGTACATGTACGTGTACGTTAAAGAGAACGTTTTACACGTGCCCGTTTGAATAATAATCACTTACCATCAGCGTATCCGAATGTTTTGCGGAGGTAAGCTGGCCATGACAGCTTGTTATCCTCGTGTTCGAGAACGATCCAGACTCTGTTTGTGTCGTTGGCCACAAAGCTGATGCGGACGTACCAAATCCAGTCCTTGAGTTCCCCCTCCGTGACCCTCCCGTCTCCATCCTTATCTATCTTGTCCACGATAAGCCTGTACAGCAACAACGTTACAATATGTTCTCTCTGCATATATAGGAGACTGTATATAAAGGACATTGTATAAAGCAAATTAGTTTACATATATGCTCAGCAGCGTTTTGAGCGGAGACTACTTACCCTAGGCGGCGCTTGCTCTCCTGTTCCGTCAGCTGTTCGAACTCCTCGGCATTATCCTTCCCTAGGAACACCTCGTGGTCATAGTGATCATTATGTTTACCATCAACCTCGTGGGGCAGGTCGGAAAGCGACTGAAATGTTACAATATCTGCTCACTACTTTGTCTAGGCAGCACTGTTCTAAAATGTCAGTACCAGCTCCAGTATCTGACGAGGCACGTGACAATAATACAACAGGTTTTGTATTCTTATTTCATTTTCCATTATATCATAGATGAGGTTATGATGTCACTTTTTAATGTGTGACATTTTGAACTATGACTTTTTCATTGCTTGACTAATTTTTGCCATTACATGTAGAGTTGATATTGTCATTAAATATGATTTTGTTATTATGTGATTGATAATGCTATTATATGATTGGTATACGATTCGGTTTTGTCTTTACATGTATGTGTGTTTTTATCACTATTTGATGTGGTATTACATACGGTTTTATAATAGGATATTGTAATAATAATGTATGAGTAGATGAGCGATCGAAGACATGCACACATTCACAAATGTATAGGCTTATTACAGATGATCAAAGTTCTATCACAGATTTGCCTACAGAAGTACTTGTAGCCCAGGCGATCTGTTATGCACATTCTGATTGAAAGATAAGCAGAGGTAAAAGAATTATTTCAAAGCAATCACATTTCGAGTTACAAATAATCTAATCATTTCAAACCAATCACATTTCGAGTTACAAATAATCTAATTATTTCAAAGCAATCACATTTCGAGTTACAAATAATCTAATTATTTCAAACCAATCATATTTCGAGTTACAAATAATCTAATTATTTCAAACCAATCATATTTCGAGTTACAAATAACTTAATTATTTCAGTGAGTTTTTGATTGCTGTATAGTATTGTCCGTAAAGCGATAATGATGCCTTTTCGGTAACCGACTGTCTATTCCAGATGGATGGATGTCTAAAACAGCTGCATTACTACTGTAACGTTGTTAGATATGGACTTCGGGCCATTCTTGATACAGGTTCGTAAAACACATCTTTTTACATATATAATACAATATATTTGAAAGAAGGAGAATTGTGTGAAAAAAACTTTTATTTCGATCCGGGCGTCGTGGTAAATCTTGTCTATATTACGTATGTAAATACAAATGTTTTCTCCTCTCCGATCCCCCTCGTTCCAGCTAAAGTGCCTGTGGTTCTATTAACATATAAACATGTATAAAGCGTCTATTGTCGGGATTAAGTATGTACACATACAACGTGAGCGAAGTGAGCGAAGGAATGAAACGTATTTTGTGAAATGTATTTTAGTAAAGATACTTTTATGTTTCCATCCTAGGGTGCGCAGTAGATACGGTTGAATCACAGGGGCTAGCAACGATTTATATGGGATAAGAAAAACAAGCATTGCTAGCCCCTGTGGTTGAATCATAGGGACTCAATACTGACGTTTTTTAGAGGAGAAGCAAAATGTATCCGTTGACTGATTTCACACAGCGAAATGTGAAGAGCACTGCAAACGAGGCCAAGCGGGTGGTACACGTACGCTAACAGTTGTAAGCAACTCTCCTGTCATCAAAAACCACGTACTTCACACATTTGTATAAGAAAATACTACAAAACCTTGTTCGATACGACGAAAACCATAACGATGGCTCCAGTAACGTGTGGTTTTACTGAAGAATGGCTGTTTAAATGAATACCTCATTGTTGAGCACTTCTCCGAATAAGTTAATAATCTTGACTGGGGCCTGTCTACAGGGGTAGGATGGGACCAGTCTACAGGGGTAGGATGGGACCAGTCTACAGTGGTAGGATAATGTCAAACTACTTACCAGTCCACGTGCAAACGTGACCAACACGGCCAACACCACCGTCAATCTCAAGAAACGCATGTCGATCGTCTGAAATAAAAACTGAGACCCTCTGTACCAACAGTTACACGTATGTGAGGTACGAACTATGACCCTTTTGTATACCCCCCTCCCTAGCAGCACAGTACGTACTACTCACTGCAAACCGACACCAGTCTGTTTGTATACATATACACGTACACACATTCACCCACAGGGACTCGATAATATAGCTGTATAGACACTGACCACACTAATGTATGTGTCAATGGTCCAGAGCCCCTGGGGATCTACCAGCTACCACCATCCGTCATTGTACCCAGCTTATGAATTTTGGATAATTCGTAATAGAATATTTCATAATTTGGTCAGAGAGATATCTTAAAATGATATTGAGATAATCTGAAGTTAATTAATGATACTGTATCATATATGCATTATTGAAATGGAGATATCTGAACTAAACCATATTTTTAAGGTGTAATAATTTCACATTAGGTTGAAAATTTCTTAAAATAAAATAGAGTTAAATGTCCACTGTTTAAGAAATATTAACTAATTTAAATATATGAATTGTAAGATGTTAAGTTGACCTAGGTAGCTGAATTGTTGAGGCGCCACAGCAGTAATTCAGCTACCTAAGTCGACACATGTAACGCTAACTCATTTTATATGACCACTTCAATGCTTTCACAACCTTTAATTACAATTGTTTAAAGATTTCAACATATTTTACGCATCCTACAGATATACTGGCCAAATATCACGATCCTAGCTCTCTTGACAATTCCAAAGCTTATAAGGTTGATACTCATTTTGAAAATGGCCAACGTCATGCTATAGTGATTCATCCCAGCATGACACTCCAAGTTTCAGAAGAAGTTGAATAAACTTCCACGCATTTGACCAAGGACTAGTAGTGACTTGTCATACATGTATATATAGCACTTCTTAGGGGTTATATACTATATATAGCACTTCTTAGGGGTTATATACTATACATAGCACTTCTTAGGGGGTATATACTATACATAGCACTTCTTAGGGGTTATATACTATACACAGCACTTCTTAGGGGTTATATACTATATAAAGCACTTCTTAGGGGTTATATACTATATAAAGCACTTCTTAGGGGTTATATACTATACACAGCACTTCTTAGGGGTTATATACTATACACAGCACTTCTTAGGGGTTATATACTATATAAAGCACTTCTTAGGGGTTATATACTATACACAGCACTTCTTAGGGGTTATATACTATACACAGCACTTCTTAGGGGTTATATACTATATAAAGCACTTCTTAGGGGTTATATACTATATAAAGCACTTCTTAGGGGTTATATACTATATAAAGCACTTCTTAGGGGTTATATACTATATATAGCGCTTCTTAGGGGTTATATACTATATATAGCGCTTCTTAGGGGTTATATACTATATATAGCAATTCTTAGGGGTTATATACTATACATAGCACTTCTTATGGGTTATATACTATACATAGCACTTCTTATGGGTTATATACTATACATAGCACTTCTTATGGGTTATATACTATACATAGCACTTCTTAGGGGGTATATACTATACATAGCACTTCTTAGGGGGTATATACTATACATAGCACTTCTTAGGGGGTATATACTATACATAGCACTTCTTAGGGGTTATATACTATACATAGCACTTGCTTGACATATACAAAACGTATTTAAAACTTGATAACTGCCAGATATTATCTTTTATTGATTATTTGTAGTAGTTTAAGCTCACCTGCCCTAACACCACGTGAGCTTATGGCAGTGGGCAGCGTCCGGTGACGTCAACTTTTCCCTTAAAACACCTTCTTCACAACTAAGAGGTCATGGGCCATGATAATTGACCAGAAGCATGCTGGAATGAAGGGCAAGTTTGGTCAGAAGAATGACCTTGACTTACTCTCAAGATCAATAATCATAAGAGTCCTAGCGTCATACAATGTACCATTTGCAAGAGGCATGCTTGGATGATGGGCTAGCAGGTTTGTACAAATGAATTACCTTAACAACACAGGGACAACAAATAACAATCGTGTCAAAATATCTTAAAGACCAGTTTTAGAATAGAAGTTTGTCACCGTGACAAATAATTAATTGTACATGTTATCTTAATTTTTTGGTAACATTTTTCATGACCTATTTTATCATCAAATACACCGTTAAATTTAAAATATAAATTACGTAAATGGGTGAAAAGTTTTTCTCATAACTCTATTGAAAATTACAAACTGGATGGCGCTGATTTTTATTTTTTTATTTTGTCGATTTGACATTTTGTCGTCGAAATATAAAAGAGAACATCGCCAAATACCTACAATCAAAAACTATCATCAAAATAAGAGTTTTAGGATATTTCCGCTCTTATGACAAAGGCCCTTGACAAAATCGAACCAACCTCCTATTTCCGGATTAGAACCTACTGATGACGTTACGGTAGGTTCAGTTCAGTATACGTACTAATGAGTAGTTATATGGTATACGTACTAATGAGTACATGTAGTTAAGTTATGTGGTAAAAACAGTGATGACGTAGTCATACTCACTTCCCATTCTTCGTTGTTTTCAAGCCAAAGCGTGCGGACTTTAATAATTTAAAACACATGTGTCACAAGAATTCATAATGTGTATTTGTGCAAATAAAATCATAATATACATGTATAATTTACAAAATCTGTAAGTAGACTGGCTCCCTCTACATGTTGAATCTATTAAGACCTAAATGAGATTCCTATTATCATGACCACTCGGATGACCTACCAATACTCAATAGTGTTTTCTCCAGGATGACCAGAACCTGAGTTTCGACTACTAGTAATTTGAGCTACGTGGTGAAAGGCTATAGTAGAAGTAGGGGAGTGGAAGCCAGTATAATTGTAAGGCTCAGTGAGATCGCCCTGGTGACGTGTCAGCAGCCTCCTTACAGGGGGCCAGTGGTACGAGTAAAGGGTATACTACTTAAACCATCATACCAATACTGGTCGAATCTGGTTTCCTCAAAAAAAAACCATATAAAACTGCATATTTTAACATTTATAACTCAATATTGACAACAAAATTGCTAAAAGGTATGATTGATCACTTTGCTATAGTAAATTGCATGTTTTATACGTAAATACTATGACTTTCACAAGTAAATGTAGTTGGAATAAGGTTTAGGTTTTTTTTGTTTTTTTTTTGCCTAGGCATGCATGTTCTGTACAAATCTACGAAATCAGTATTGGTGCAAAGAAAGACCTGTTATGGAGGCTGATGCAGCCTTCTGGTTGTCATGTAGACGTGGACAATAACAAATCATGTGTAAACATGTGTCTACACGTACTAATATAATTAACACCCGTGGTATTGTGCTACACATGTAACAAACATATCAGATAGATTTAATCACCTTACCTGCAGTAAGTTTAACACTTCTGGGATGATAATAGCAGTCCCGTCGTTCCGGACAGACTGTGTTGACTGAGGGGGTCGGGAAGCTGTATTGTTGCCTCGGGATGGGGTTCTTCTAGAATACTCTACTTGGACATAAGCCAATCAAAAACAATCCTGCCGCTATTATGACCAATCAGGAAACTGCCGACGTGGAGCTTGATTCCCACACTTTGTGTAACTTGATCCAAAGTCTAGAAATTTCGTAAACTTCACTGCAGGCACTGTGGTAGACTTACCCAAGTCTTAAGTTACAATCTCCAGTATTTTAAGTACCAGTGAAACAACGCGCCGTCTGGTCCATGAGTTTAATTAGAGTCAGCGGCTGGTATAACTGTATCAAATACTGGTATCTTATGATTGAACTTCATTTGAAAAATTAAAACGAAAACTACATTCATCGTTTTTTAATTTCCATAATAATAAAACGTAAACATAACTAGCTTCATTTGCAGGAGCTGTACTGATAAACAAGTCCTGAAATGGACATCTTTATCTACACGCGTTGGGTACTGTAGTTTCCTGGAGTTATGCATTGTAGTAGTATGTACTGTAGCCGTATGTTAACCATGATAGGGCTGCGTGTTGCATCATATAACGGTTCTCAGTTCTATGAAAACGATCCAAAATCTTATGCAATTTTGGTTGAAAGTTTCATCATACTCTTCAAACAATACCATGGACGTGTCGCGGTGAGATGATACAGTGACTTCTCGCTAAAAAGAGTATTAATTTCAGGAATTCCAATGAAAAATCAGATTCTCCGTAAAATGTCAAATTTGCGATTTTGTTTCAAGACCAGCTGGACCCGTATTTATGAAACCGTTCTCGTTGCTCAAGCATGAATTCTGTGCTCAAGTCTAATTTCTCAGTTCCGTCATAAATTATTTATTTTTGCCAATGATTTGTAAAAAAATATTGAAGAGGCTTAAAGCCGAAAGAATGTTTACATGTGACTTTTTGGTCGTTTGACATGATTTAAGCCAGTGACAAGAAAGCTGACTTGAGCACAGAATCCATGCTTGAGCATGAGATCGGTTTCATGAATACAGGGCCTGATCGATCACTTCTTTCCAACTCGAAGTTGACCATAACAAAATCATATTGATAGTTTTGAAGAATATTGAAATGTACTGAAATCAAATTTCGGGAAAGATAAGTGGTTATGACGTTATTACCGTCGTTATCGTGACGTCATTTTAATGTTATATTTTGTCAGGGCACCCTTTTTAAATCCCCGCACTAATGAATACATTTGAGTGTCAGGGCCGGTAAATATTAATTTGTTATTTTGATATGCATCCTCTATCAGTAACTAGTTCTATGCTTGTTTGATATCTTCCCTATGCCGATAACAAGTTATATGCTATTTAAATATATATGCTTCATACATCAGAAAGTCCTATACAATTTTGATATTTCCCCTATGCCAATAAATAGGCAAAACCACACATATGTGTTGATCTGAGTATTCGGATAGCATGAGTTTGTGGTGGCGGAGGAGTATATAACGAGTGCGCTTCGCATGGGTGTCCTATGCTATTTCAATATGCTTTCTGAATATGATAATAGTTCAATGCTATTTTGGTAAGCACATGTGCAATGTGTTTCTGTAATCGAATGATAAAACCTTTTAAATTTATTCAACCATGTTTAAATTGTTCGACAGAGGGAACTGATTCTTCACATACGTGAACCCATTATTTCTCTGAAAGATATTATTATAATTCTGTTTATTTCCTCCTTTAAGAAGATTTTACAAACAGAATAACGTAGTTACAATGATAAATAAGATAATGAATGCAACATCAAATAGATGATAAGGCACAATTAGTGCACAACATACATATAATTAGTTAACACAATAGAAATAGGTTAATCAATTTGAGTACAGTTTACAAAAGAATACATAATTAATAATGTTAAGAATGATATACACAAAAGTATTGAATAATCATTCGAAGTATGCATTAAGCATTTTTGAAATATGATTGACTGATGCCAAACGAAATTCTGTTTACTCTAATGTATTCAGTTCATACGTTATATTACCACCAATCAGTAGGTGAAATAATTCATAGTCTGAATGAGGGTGTAAATATACGCTAAACATAAGTTCACATGTATTAATGACCTGACACCATAACTGATCTCGTAAGTCTTCTGTACAATCACATTGCAAAACTATGTGGGTATATATATCGTTATACATTTGTCCACATTTATGACATAATTCAGTTTTTAGCTCACCGGTACCGAAGGACCAAGGTGAGCTTATGCCATACCGTGGCGTCCGTCGTCCGTCCGTCCGTCCGTCGTCCGTCGTCCGTCTGTCCGTCCGTCTACAATTTCTTTAAACGACTTCTTCTTCTTAACCACTGATTGGAATTTTACTAAATTTGACTGGAAGCATCCCTAGGTGGTGGTGATTCAAAATTCTACAAATGGTGGGGCTGAACCGCAGGGGGCTGAGGGGTGGGGCTAAAAGGGGGCAATTTGGCTATGTTGCTTTAAGCGACATCTCCTCTGGAATTAAGAGATGAATATCAACCATATTTGACTGGAAGCATTCCTAGGTGGTGTGGATTCAAAATTGTACAAATGGTTGGGCTGACCCCCAGGGGGCTGAGGGGCGGGGCCAAAAGGGGGCATTTTCGCTATATTTCTACAAACGACTTCTTCTGTAGAACTATGCACTGGATATCAATCATATTTAATCAGAAGCATTCATGGGAGGCAGGGATTCAAAATTGTACAAATGGTGTGGCTGACCCCCGTGGCGGCTGAGGGACGGGGCCAAAAAGGGTTATTTAGTTCTATTACTTTAAGCGACTTCTTCTCTGGAAATCAACAATATTTGACTGGAAGCATCCCTAGGTGGTGGGGATTCAAAATTGTACAAATGGTGGGGCTGACCCCCCAGGGGGCTGAGGGCTGGGCCAAAAGGGGGGAATTTGGCTATATTGCTATAAACGACTTCTTCCGTAGAACTATACCATGGATATTGATCATATTTGGTCGGAAGCATTCATGGGAGGCAGGGATTCAAAATAGTACAAATGGTGGGGCTGACCCTCCGGGCTAAGGGGTGGGGCATTTTTTTTTATTATTACTTGGAAATGGTTGAGATCCCCACCATATAACCATATATACAATTGCTGAGTATAAAGAGAGGAATGCACATTTGCTTTCAGGATGGCTCTAGGGTCTGGCCCCACCCTTGGAGACTTAACCCATTGGTCATATCTTTGAAACGGTTAAGATCCCCACCCCAAAACTATATATACAATTGTTGGGCATAAAGAGACAAATGCAGTCATGCTATTAGAATTGACCGCAGGGTCTGGCCACAACCCTAGGGACCTAGTTTCTGAGTCACAGCTTGGAAACAATTGAGATCCCCACCCCATAACCATACATTAAATTGCTGGGCATAAAAAATCAAATCCAGATATGCTACAAGGATTGGCCTTGGGGTGGAGAATATTTTGCCATGATTGCTTAGATATCCAGGTGTGCGAAAGAGGCCCAGAGAGGGCCTGTAGTTTCTGAATGTCCTAGAGATACAATCAATTTCATTATACTATGTATGGCTTCTCTGTTTTGAGGAAGTTTTATATTAAATTACCTATAAAGAAAAGGATATCAGCGACAACAAGAGATTCTGTCATGTAGGTCCAATTTATAACTCACAAACTGCGAGAAGATTCGTTCGTTGTAGAACAGCCTATCCCACGCCGTAAAAATGTTCTATGTTTTCCCACAGCATTCAGTCCACGTGGCAAAAGTCGTCCTGAACTTGAAGATTTTTACCAAACCAATAAGATATTTGATACCAGTTTTATGTAAAATGTGGGGTTTATTTCCAATACATAATTTCAAACATAGAGCACAAACAAAAGAGTAATCAGTAAATGTTTTATTTCGCCTTGAAACATAGAACGGGAAGCGGAGGAACCCGCTATACGGTATATAAATATACTACGGCTCAATATACCCATCACGGTGTTATATCCTCCTGAATACTGGCTAATCATTGTGGTGGACAGCTCGTAAACACTGACCCTATTTAATATTTGTGATTGTCCTAAAGGAGGTAAGGTCAGATTAATAGTTCAAAGACATCGGCTTACCAACATGTGGAAGATAAGTCTCCCTCCGCCAGTCCGTGTCCTATCTTAACGGCTTGTGAAATGAAAGGACAGCCTGCAGAATTTGATTAAGTCTTCATCACAAAAGTCTCCTTCATATACTGACCGACATATTTTGTTTGTTGGTTGTAATATCAGTTGTCAGTCAGTGTAGAATAAACTGTCATCTCCACTATTTAATACACCAATAGACACTCATAGAATCGTGTCTGTTAAGAGCAGAACAGACCTCGGGTACTAAGTCTGATCAGTGTACTAAACGTTCACTTCAAAACACAAGGTTTTAATATTTTTGTCGTCAGCAATGGACTGTTTTACATGTAAAATTACAATCCCGTGGTGAACAAGAAAGTTGATCATGACTTCTATTGCACGTACTGGATTTTTACTCTTGTGTGCGATTCCAGTGAGTATGGTTTCCAAGAAAGCTATTGATATTTACATGTTATCCGATTTTTACTGTCTTTAAAGGTTTACTAACTAAAAAACCTGCAACTTAAGCTTAAATATTAATCTTGTATATAGTTTGAATGTATCGCTATAACGCCTCACATGACTCGGTACATCCTGACTTAAAGGGGCGCATATCAACTGTTTCCACCAACAGTTTGTAACACCGTTAATATCGACAAATGATATTTTATTTCAAACGTCCTTTCAATGTATATAAAATGTATTTAATTATAAGTATCTGATATCCGCAGGCTGTCTGTCCAGGAGGGACGGGGGTATTGAGACTTCTGGCTTATGACAACCCCACTCAGCAGCTTGCCTCTGGACAGTGCTGTGATCACTTCCTTATGACAAACTGTCGTAGAAACCAGTGCGACCCACAATTTCTCATCTGTCTGAACCAGCAGCCGGCATCCAGGTAGACACAAACATTTCAGGAACATTTCCATTTGATGTCAACGACACCGTTGCATGTCAAATTTACCC